AAGCGCAAGGTCGTGAGTTCGGTTCCCGGTACCAGAGAAAAACCAAAAAAAAAAATAAATAAAAAATAAAATCTTCAGAAGAAAATAAGTACTATGAAAACAATAGTGCCAGGCGTGGTGACACATGCCTGTAATCCCAGCACTCAGGAGACTGAGACAGGAGAGTTGCCGTGAATTTGAGGCCTGGCTGAATGACATAGCAAGATCCTCCCTCAAAAATAAACAGTAGTAAGGGAGTTGAGAGAAGTATTGGACCAAATCATGAAAGGCTTTGTAGACCACTAGAGGACCTTTGGCTTTTTAAGGGTTTAAACAGAGGAGAAGTGTGATCTGAGTTAAGTTTTAAAAGACTCTGTCTACCCTCTTAGGTTCTTAGGGCTAAATTAAATGTTAGTTTCCTAAGAAGTCTTACTTTCCTAAAAGGTCTTAATCACATTAAGGTAAATTAAGTGTTATGTTTTCTCCACAGTATATAATTTGTAATCATTTTATTTAAAAAAAGGATCAGCCAGGTGTGGTGGCACATGCCTGTAATCCCAGCACTCACACTTGGGAGGCTGAGGTAGGCGGATCACAGACAGTTTGAGGCCAGCCTGGGAAACAGAGTGAGATCCTGCCTCAAAAGAAGAAAAAGAAAAAGAAAAACCCAGTCCCTTAAAAATTGGGGCTCATTTTCCAAGGTACAACCAGCTGCACGTGGGGTTGGAGTGCGGTGGTTTGTGTGTGCGTGTGAGGGACATCTGACCCTTCAGTCACCTGGGGGCAGAGCACCGGAGAAGTGACACTGCTGCTCGCTGCTATTTTTGCTGTGAGTAACAAATTGTGTCCAGCCCGGAGATTTTCAGCCTGTATCTATGTTGCTTCAGCAGAATCTTACCATTTTCGTATATTTACAGGTCTCAAGGATTAGGATGTAGACATGTTGGGGTGGGGGATTATTCATCCTGTCCTAGTCAACCCTCTGGCTCCCCAAAAATTCATCCCACAGGATAAACGCAGTCACTCATCCCAAAGTCCCACAAAGTTTTTAGCCCATTTTGGCATCAACTTGTCCCAGATCTCACCTATGTGTCGTTAGCTCAAAAGACACAAAGCTCATAAATCATTTAGATCAGATGTAGGTTTAGCTCCATTTACTCCATTTGAAGCAAAACTCTCTTAGCTGTGGATGTGGGAGGCTAGAAATCAAGTCCTATACTCCAAAACGGCAGAACAGGTGGAGGATAACAATAGAAATTTTCATTCAAAAGGAGAAAACGAAAGACAAAAAGGAGTCACCAATCACTTTCAAAGTCCAGCTGGGCAAACTTCACTACATTTTGAAGCCTGGAACGACTGCTGTGTGGTTTCTGTCTTCTCTCTGGAGCTCCACTCTGAATCGTCCTTTTTTTTCTCTTTTTAACAACACAGCACATGTCTCAATGATTTCATCAGCCTGTTTCCTGCCAGTAGAATTTCAGTGACCTGACAGCTTTTCCTTTCATCCTGTCTGTCGCTTTGGTCCAATTTAACCAGTGTTTCTAAATACAAGTCTTGAAAACCTTGTGAGTAATGAGGATTCACACCGTTAGAGGACTGGCTCCTCCATGGGTCTTCCCTTAATAATCCCATGTATTATTGGCTTCTGCTGAGGTGATTTGAAGAGACCTGTGACTCATACCTCATCCCAGAACCCTCTGTGTGATTGAATACCATTTTTATATTTTTTTAACACCTTAACTTTTTAAACTTTTCAAGCACTAATAAAAAGCTGTCCACTCTTAAAAATGATCAAGATGATAAATTTCACTCTTTAACCACAATTTAAATCTTTTATGAAAATGAATTTTTAGAAAGAAGACTATCTGGACACATCATTGGTTTTCTCTCATGAACAAATGTCCCTCACAGTGGATCTCTTAACTAGTATCTTTTACAAACCAATAAAATAAATAAATAAATAAATAAAAACAAACAAGGGGCTGGGGATTTAGCTCGGAGGCACAGTGCCTACCTGGCAAACGCAAGGTCGTGAGTTCGATTCCCGGTACCAGAAAACAAAACAAAACAAAAAAAAACTAGTATCTTTTACAATCAGAATACAGACATTCCTCACTTAACGACCTACTGCTTTAGTGACTTTCGAATTACAACTTGATGCTCAGACTTATGACCTGCCTTTTTCCCCCTACAGTTCTGTATCTTCTTTCTAGCACCTGAATGTCTTTTTTTTTTTGTACAATACACTTTGTTTATACAGTACTGTAATTTTTGCTGATTGTACTGTACAGTACAGTACTGTAAGTTTATGTTCTGTTATACATTACAGTACTGCATGTATGAGTTATACACACTTGAGAGGCTGAGGCAGGAGGATCTCTGTGAGTTCAAGGCAAAGCTGAACTACCTAGCGAGACCCTGTGTCAAAAAACCAAACTAAATGAACAAACAAAAACAGACGCAGAAAAAGTCATGCAAATAACAGCAAAGTTATCAAGTTGCAGTATCCTTTGACCATGTCTTCATTCTGAATATTCAGGTCTGGGAATTTAGCTCAGCGGCACAGCGCCTGCCTGGCAAGTGCAATGTTGTGAGTTCGATTCCTGGTACTGGAAGAAAAACAAAAAAACAAGCATTCTGAATATTGCATGCACTATATAGAATTTCTCATTTAGCGACTAATTCGTTTAATGACCTAGTTGTGGGAATAGAACTCAGACTTTAACTGAGGTGTACCTGTACTCAGAATTTACCAAATCATCAAATCCTGGTTCATTTTGAAATACTACCCTCAATTTATCTTGTCCTTTTACATTTTAACAAAAGTAACCAGAAACCAAGCCACATTTTGAACACCTGTTTGAAAATTTCAAGTAAGTGCACAAATTCCATACTTCGAGTTGCTTTCTACGTGACTAGCACAGATAGAAAACGGGCTGAGGGATTCACTGCGCTCCACCCCCTTGAGCTCAGGCTCTGGGAGCGACTGGTAACCCCAGACCAAAGTAGGTTCTGCCCCTTTTCTCTCAGATCTCTCTCTGTCTCCCTCTCTCTCCTCCCTCCCTCTCCCTTGCTCCCGCCCTCCCTGCCCCCACAAGCCTTTCCTTCCTCTGCTCTCAGGGAGGCCCACACTGCAGTCCCAGTCTCCTCAGTGCCCTCTTTGGGTTCCTCTGCACCTTGAAGTGTCCCACAGGGTCGGTCTTATCCGCCAGGCCTCATCCCTCCCTTTCTCCTGGGCGCCTTCCATGCATCAGTGTCCCCTGCCTCTGGCCACTCTCCCCGCCTCTCTCTTGGTCCCTGTCCTCTGAGCCCCTTTGCGTCTCTCTCGGCCACTCCTCCCGCCTCCCCGCCGCTCTTAGTGACCAGCCCAGCCCTGGGGACCCTGCAGTTCCTGCTCTCCGCTCTTGGTGAAGCTTGGTCTGACTCAACTCAGCCCTAGGAAGTGGAAGAGCCAGCACACACCCTTGTGAATCAAAAGAAAGATGTGCCCAGGAGAAATGGGAAAAGGACCCCGGGCATCTTACTTCACGTGTTTCTCGTTATGGATGAAGCTGGGAATCATCCATATGACAGACAGCCTTTGTCTTTGTTCTGTGCATATCCATTCTCAGCTTTGCCCATTACTCTTTTGATATTTGGGTTTTATCTTTGTCATGCAGAACTTTTGAGCTAAGCGTAAGGTAGGGTTATGCGGTGAGTGGCTCACATTTTCCTCAATTTCTCTTCAGCCTTTGCATCCGGGGCTGTCTGTGGAGGTTTTCCTTCTCTTTGAAAAGGATGCCAGGGCTGGTGATATAGCTCAGTGGCACATGTGCCGCCCTGAAAGGGATACCAAATATTTTAATCAATTTTGGCTCATTCAAGAGACCTTCATTCCGACGTTTAAATGCTTGAGCTACATTCAGCTTTGGTACATACATGATTGTCCCATGGGGGGTCATGGAACAGTCCCATCCAGTGGGCCAAGCTGTCTGATGGGACCATCACCATGTCAGGCCGTTTTGTGAATGTGTTAATTCACAAAACTGACTCCTTAAACTGATTGTCTCCAGGATGTTGCATCTATCTGTGAGTGAGAGCGAGATTGTGACCTGTGAATTTACTATTTGTCCTAAGTTCACTTTGCTTTAAAATCAGGATCCTTATAAGCTTCGCCAGGAGAGGTGTGAAAGTAAATGCGTATTGGGTAAGTCCAGTGCTTGCCTCATAGCAATGATAGTAATGATACAGAGGAAAGAAACTCTCAACCTGTTAGATGTTCATGTTCTCTAAAATCGAAGAATGAACTTTAGGAGCAACGGAGGTTAAGAGCAGAATATATTTATTGGGGGAAATAGACAGGAGGGGTCCTGAGTGGGTTGCCAAGGATCTTGCCTTTTCTAGGGATTTTTATAGAGCAAATCCATTAGGTGAGGTGGGTCCAAGGTAGGGAAAGTGGGAAATCGCAAGGTGGGCATGAGGTGGGACAAAACTATGGTCAGCCAATAAGATTACAAGTCTAATTGTTCAGGTAAAACTATTAAATTGGGGTCAAATGGGGAATCAAGTCACATAGCAAGGAGGGAGGAATACAGAACAGGGGCCTTTCCTGTAGGGGGCTGGGTTAGTGACTCTTCCTGGCTTTCTCAAGGTGATCGACACCTATTTAGAATATCAATCCTTGATGTTTATCCTTAGGAAGTATGTGGGTGTATTTGTTTCATCTTGTCTTGAGATCTGGTCCAGAGCAGAAGTGTCTGTCTCTCCCACAGTTGTAAGGCATCTCATCTTCTGCTCGGGCTCCTTCCAGGGCCTGGCCCTATCTGACTGCCTATAATATTTTTGTGTAACTTAGTTGTCTGTAACAGTAACAACTCAAGAAGTATTAGCTTTTGTGATTATTGTTTACTGAAAAGAAAACCCACTCGTGACTGGCCCTTGAGAAAAGTTGTTATAGTTTGGAGCCAGAAAAATCTCTCTTTGGAGGACTGAAATTCTACCACCTACCCACCCACTTCGAGTCTTCTTTTCTGCGGCGTCGTGGAGGATTCCATGCAAAAGCGATAGTCCTCCTCCGGTGATGTGCCCAGCTGTTTTGGTCCTCACGTGCGGTGGAAGAGGAAAGCCAAGCCGTGGCCTTGGGGCAGAGCCCGCTAGGGTCAGCGACTGGAGCCACCCGCCCCTGAGAGGACATGGGCGGAGCCCTCGGGTGCCGGCCTCGGAGTCAGAGTCCGCTCCATGGCGCCAAGAGGATGCGCACCCGCGCAGCTGCTGCTGCTGCTGACACTGCTGTGGCCGCTGCCCCGGGAGCTGGCGGCGGGCGGCCGGTGGAGCGGGGAGGGCACCAGCCCGCAGCTGCAGAGCGTCTTCCTGGGCCGCTGTGCGGAGTACATCACGTTGCTGAGCCCGCAGCCCGGGTGAGGAGTGGCACAGTTAGAGAGGGAAACCGGATCTAAAAGGAAGGGTGGGTTAGGTAAGCAGCAGATCTTGAAATGCCTGCGTGCTTGGTTTGTGCGTGCATGTGTGTGTGTGTGTGTGTTAAGGTGAGGTGCACCGTGGGTCCAGAGGTGAGGGTGTGTGTGTGTGTGTGTGTGTGTGTAAGGTGTCAGTCTAGAAGCCAGAGCTGGACAGCTGAGTTTGAATGACAGCCAGTAGGAGTAGCTGGACCTCACACCCCAGTACTCAGTCCGCAGTGGAAATTCCCTGAGTCCAGGCACTTCAGGAATTTCAGATCCCATCATCCAAACAACTGAAGTGTTCCTGTTTCTAACCAGTGCTGTGCGCCTTACTGATTTGTCTTTCTTCCTGGGAACCTTTTCTCTTTTTCTGCTTTCATAATCTCCTTTTCATGAGCCAGTTATTTTTATTGTGACTCATTTCAGGTAAATAAAAAAGAGACTAGAATAAGGAACATCAGTATTACCCCACCCAGTGTAGAAAGAAAAGAAGACCAAAGCTGCTGGAAACTGTTCTTAACAGCTAATGCAGAGCTCAAGGCGAGCGGCGAGCAGCGCAGGGCGAGCTTTCGGAGTCACCAGGAGCAAAGCCTTTCCCAGGACCGGGCACTGGCTCTTGGTTTTGCTTCCTTTTGTCCTGGCCTTACCTGGCCCTCAGCCCAGATGGACCTGAATAATAAGCTTGGTCCCACTTTTGTGTCTTAATAAAGAGCAAGGGCTGGGAATGCGGGGATGTGCGTGGTCCTTGTTCAATCCCCAGCAAGGAGAAGGGGGGAAAAAGGGTGCTTTGAAGCTGTGTGGTTTGTTAAAATTGTCACCTTCTAGTTTGTAACCTTTTCTGCTGTGACCTTGGGGCAAAACTATATTCCTAACTCCAAAAATTTGTGTAGCGCCTTCTGAGAAACATTCCCAACATGATTTCTTCCTCCTTTCTTTCTTTCTCTCTCTCTCTCTCTCTCTCTCTCTCTCTCTCTCTCTCTCTCTTTCTTTCTTTCTCTCTTTCCCTTTTTGAGAGAGTCTTATGCAGCTCAGGCTGGTCTTGAATTCATTTTGTAGCCCAGGTTGGCCTCGAACTCACAACAATCCTCTTGCCCCAGCCTCCCGAGTGCTGGGATTACAGGTGTGTACCACCGCACCAGGCAACATCAGATTTTTAAATCCATTGCTTGAGCCATTTGTTGTCTTTTTTGTGTTAGTAGTCCTGCAGTCAGCATATGACAGAATCACTTGTGAAACCTTTAAATCAGTGGAAATACTTCACGGCATATGGTGATGTCTTTTGTTTTATTTTTGACTTGTACTTTTGCGCAGGGACAAGAACTGCACAGCCATCTGGGAAGCCTTTAAAGTGGTGCTGGACAAAGATCCCTGTTCTGTGCTTCCCTCGGACTATGACCTTTTCATTAATCTGTCTAGGCACTCCATTCCCAGAGACAAGGTAATTACAACCGACTCAGATAAATCATTGCCGTCCTTCTTTATGCTGGTAGAAGTGCACAGGCCAGGAGTGAGGTCAGCTGCCCCCAGCAGCCTGCAGAGCCATGGAAGCACCAAGCAATACACTGGGGATACAGTAGTCTGCTGTACTCACTGGTGCTGAGGAAGCTTTGTCTCCAGCAGAGACCCCGGGTCGGTTGCCTATGTGTGGACCAAAGGTACTTTCCCAAGTCAGCAAGTGAGTACAGGAATCTCCACAAAAACTTCAGGTATGGCCAGAGCTTCCACACTGGGCCTCCATATCCTGCCAGTCTTGAATTACCTCCATCCTAACTGGCTCTAGGGCCTGACCTTGAGTAATTCAGAAAACCCTCAATGTCATGGGTCTCACTATTGTATTTATTGTACCAGTTTCTTTCTGAAAACCATGTATCTGTATTCTGTCTGGACTCTAAGGTTTAATAACATAAAAATTTATGAGAAAATCTCTGGAAATGCTTGCTTAGAATAGTACGTTGGCTTTAGAGACAGACACCATTTTTATTTCTCTAACACAATCATTCTTAATCTGATTTTTCTGTCGTGTGTTAGTTATAAAGGTAAGTAAGTGGAACCGTGAAGTATCAAGAGAAATAGATTATAAACATGGTTTTAAGGTGTCCACTGTATTTTGAACCTCGATGCCTCTCTTTTGGTAAAAAGGAGAAGCATAATTTTTGCTCTCTTCTCTCTAGCTTATGGGGTTAATAATATCCCTTAGTTACTGAGGGATGATCAGGTCAGCAATCTCCTGAGTGAGTGTACGGTGAAGGCTAAATAAAAAGAGGAAAATGGAATGATTTCAGGGCCCCAGGAGGAGGATCAAAGCCCTTTCACATAATTCAAGATTCTCTCAGAGCTAAGACCACGACCTTCTCTGGTTTTTTTTTTTTTTTGAGACAGGGTCTCACTATGCAGTTCAGGCTGGCCTTGAGCTCACTTCTGTAGCCCAAGCTGGTCTTGAACTCGCAACGATCCTCCTGCCTCAGCCTCCTGAGTGCTGAGATTACAGGCATGCACTGCCACTCCTGGATGGGGCACCTTCTCTGGGTCTCCCATATTTATTTGGTTATCAGAAGAAGAGAGGGGAGTACTCAAGAAGGGCAGAACCACTCAAGGACTCTCGAAGTAAGGTATGAAGTTAATCCACTGAAGAATGAGATGCCTGAGGCTATAGTCTTCATCTAGTTGAGATCTGATCCAGGTATCCTTGACTGTGACCTTGTCTTGTCCTTTGAGGCTTTCTAGCTTCATCTACCACTACAGGTTCTAGTAGGGATTAGTGACTCACAGAGATTCACTTACTTTTTGTTTTGTTTTTTTGGTTTTTTTTGAGATTCACTTACTATGATCCACATTTCCAGATAAGGAGCCTAGATCTTGGACAGATTCATAGGTGAACATGGAAAGCCAATTGGTTAATATTAAATCCTACTCAGAGCCACCTTGTAGTGGTCTCCAACAATAGCTTTTGTGGGCTCATTGATGAGCTCGGTAAATATTTACTGGCTATTTCTGTGCTCCAGGGATGGTGCTAAGAGTTAAGGATGCAGCAGTGACAAACAGCTTCACCTTGAAGACCTTCCAGTCTTAGCCCAGTGACTAAGTTGAGCACCAGATGAGCCAGTGAGCAGGGAATATTGTTATTTGTACTGTTACGTGAAGACACTGTTTATGGTGGACTGTAGGAGTAATGTTTTTTGAGGGACTTCACACTCCAGGAAATGCTCTCTATAGTTGCATACCATCCTAATTGTTGAGGAAAAGAACTCATGCTCTCCATTTTCTCAATGTGGAAACTGAGACCTGGGGAATTTACATGCCTTGGTCAAGAACACACACGTACTACACAACAGAGCCAGGATTCCAAGATTCTACCCAAGTCTTGATTTTTTTTCTTCTTGGCCTTGAACTTCCCATCCTCTTGCCCCAGCCTCCAGAGTATCTAGAATTAGATATTGCACTACAGCTCTGAGCTCATTGATCTTTTTCAATCCAAAAATTTTACCACATGTACTAAAGTATTTTGTACTACTAGGAAAACAGCCCATGCACATTTACATGATAAGCTTGGAATAAAGGGAGGCGAGATGGTAGCAGTCTTTAAATGGGTAAATAAAGACAAAGGAAAAGAGTTTTGTCATTCTGCAGCAAGCCAGAGTTGGACGAGAAATGGGCGGCTGACTTGTCTTGATGATACTGTGCCTAAGTAGTCCTGTTTGATTTTACCTTGTATTTTAATTTTTTCCCCTTAGTCCCTGTTCTGGGAAAATAACCACCTCCTTGTTATGAGCTTTTCGGAGAACACCCGGCGTTTTATGCCCCTGTGTGATGTTCTGTACGGTCGGGTTGGAGATTTCTTGAGTTGGTGTCGGCAGGAAAATGCCCCTGGTAAGACTCCTGCACACTGCAAGAAAAGCAAGAGCTCCTATTACCACGCATTTGCCATTTGTGCTGGAAAATTTCATATGCATTTATCCCACTGGTTCCCTCCAATTCTCTGAGGTAGATCCAACATGGTAATTAATAATGATAGTAGGTAAAGACCGCTTACTTTTTTGCTAGGTACTGCTCTAAGCACCTTATGTGAGTTACCTCATTTAATTCTTGCACCATCCCAAGGGAAGTCTCATGGAAGGGCATCAAGAGATGCCGGGATAGGCAGGAGGGGAGAAGAAGGGGTTGACAGAAAGAATTAAGATGTGTTCTGTACGTGCATCAACTCTTCATGAGTAATTTAATTATTATGTACTGCAAAAAAAATTATTATGCACTGCAAACCTGTGCCAATAAAAAGAAAATATTAACTAGAAAAAAGTCCACATTTTAACATATGAAGAAACTAGGTTGAAGAAGGATGTATAGCTAGGGCACAGAGAGCAGAGTCAGACGGTGTGACTCCAGAGCCTGAGTCCCCCACCTGGGGCGGCTCTGCCTTCCTGTCCCCCTTTCCCACCATGGGAGGCTGCGGCTGCGGGGAGGGTGAGTGATCTGTGCACAGCGTGCAGAATGGAGGCTAACTTGGAGCTGCCTGATGTTAATAATTAATTCTTTGCTGGTACAATCTTTGAAATGAAATGTGTTTGTCTATTTTATTTGCAGAACTCGATTACCAATCCTGCCCTATCTCGGAAGACTGTGAACACAATGCTGTGGATTCCTACTGGAAAAGGGCATCCATGCAGGTAGGCCTGCAGCGGATGGTCAGGCGGCTGAGTGTGTGCGTGACCTGTGAAAACGAACCGGGGTTCAGAGCCTGGGAGCCCAGGCCATTGCTTAACTTCTCTGAGCCTCACTTTCCACTCTACAGCAGCCTAATCCATTTTCTGTGCTCCATAATATTGAGAGAATGTAAGAAAATAATACACACACACATATATTTTATATATATTTATTTCTTTTTCTTGGGGTGGAGCGGGGACTGCGTCTCATGACACAGTTCAGACTGGCTTTGAACTTGTTACACAGCTCAGATTGAACTCAAGCCAGCAATCCTCCTGTCTCAGCCCCCTGAGAGCTAGAGTAACAGGCATGTACCACCACACCTAGCTAAGAAAGTAAATTTTAATGCAGTGTCCGGCACAATAAAAGCGTTCAGTAGATGTTACCTGGAAATAAGGACATTGCTATTGAGAGCCCTTCCCAGTCCTTGTTGTGGTCTGGGAAGTTTATAAATGTTATCCCATGGAAAAGTTAGTGGAACTCTAATAGATTAATTCCAATCTATCACTTCCAGGGCAACCCATGGTGAGAGTAAAGACACTAAGGCGTATTTGCGGTTGTGGGGAGCCAGGGGTCCTAAATCCAGCCGGTAAAGTGATTTACCAGAACAGAGGCTTCAACCCAGCGCCAAACCCAGCTTTTATGAATCCGAGAAGAGGGGAGTGGCTCAGGGATGAGTGACTGTGAGAGCGGCGGGAAGTACATGAGCTGGGCTAGGTAGGAGACCTGAAGGCCTGAAATCACTGCTGTGTGAGAAGAGAGAGAGAGAGATGCAGAAAGAGCACTGTAACCTGCATAACACAGCTGAGGCAGTATCTAATGTTTTGGGGTCGTGCTTTAGCTCTGACGTGTAATCTTTTATGCCTGGGGAAGTCCTAGCGTCTTATCTCCAGGCTCAATCCCAGCCCGCAGCAGAGCATGGCTCTCCTTCCTGCCCAGATCACACATGCTTCCTGTCACATATGCTTCTTGGGAGCTTCAGGGTGGAGCAACACTGCCCTGTCCCTGCTTGAAAGACTACACATCAGCACCTTGGCTGGACTGATATGCATTGCTTAAAGCTAGTTGAGGGGATAAGGAAAAGTCTGGCCAGCTCTGTACATATCAATACATGGAAATAGGGCCTGGCTTAGCCAAAATGGAGAGACTTGCTCTTCTTTCAAGGAGAGTCATCCAGGTAGTACTCTACAGTTCCCCCTTCTTTGCTCTGAAGAAGCTGGAGCAGAGTCAGTCACGGCTCTATGGCCTCTATTGTCACAGGGTTGTGAATCCTCTATGACACACTTTAATGAGAAGAGTTATAAACAAAGGAATGGGTACACTAATTCCAATATAAAACCAAAAGTGAGCAGGGTGTGGTGGCTCATGCTTGTAATCCCAGCACTCAGGAGGCTGAGGCAGGAGGATCCTTGCAAGTTCAAGACCAGCCTGGGCTATAACGTGAGCTCAAGGCCAGCCTGAACTGCATAGCAAAACCCTGTCTCAAAAAGACAGCAAAACAAAATAAAACAAAAACAAAACAAAACAAAAACAAACAAAAGTGAGCCTTGAGATATGCAAATAGATTCATCTGTTCTATAAAATCAGCAAACTTATCCCAATCTTTAATTTGGGCATCAAACATGGCTGTCTGTTGTGACGTGGATAGCACTTTTCTTGGAAGAGCATCTATATCCACAATAACATTTGGATGGATTGCTCCTTGTATATGTTTTTTGATCATTCCCCAGGGATTTAGGCTTTTATTGTATGGTAAAAGGGTGATACAAAATGGAGTCATATTGTAGTGACATTTTAATCCCTGTTACAATTGCAAACTTTCAGTTTGATCTCCCAAACTTTGGTCTCTAAGACACTTTCTTGGGTTTGCAATTTTATATCAGTTTGTTGCTGAATTTTCCAGGTCTCATCAGCAGTTCTTGTCCAGTTGTCTACAAAGTGAGCAGTCTGTACTGAATGATCTGAGGCTGTAGAGCCAGTAGCCGGTCCTCTGCACATTACATAGTCATTGTTTCTATTACGTCATGGTTGTTTATCACTATTTAAATTCATGTGATTTTTTCATTGCTGTGTGAGACTGGGTAATCCCTGCCTTGTGACAGACCTTGAGATACTGAGATCTAGGTGTATGGGTCAGAAATGTTCACAAACGTATGTGAGTGGAAGAGGAGATGCCGGGAGGCCCTGGTGAAAATGAGGACACAGAAATAGTCCCCTCAAGGCAAATCTATTGCTTAGAAAATGTTGTCACCAGGGTTGATATAGTTCTCAATAGCTGGTAAAGTACTGGTCATAAAGTACTGGTCATTAGCATTTACATTTTTTTCACCAGGGTTAGAGCAGAAATTAGAAACGAAGAGGGTTGGGTCCTTATCTCAGTGCTCAACAAAGGGCTGCTGAGGATGGAACAGTTAGTGTATGCACCAGGAGGCGGACACAGGGTGGGCGCCAGCGCCTCCCCCATCATGATATAGGGGAAGGAAACTCCCAACCTGAATGAACTCTGGGAAGAGTTTGTGTTCTCTAAAATCGAAGAATGAACTTTAGGAACAACAGAGTTATAGAGCAGAATATATTTATTTATGGAAAGAAAAGAAAGCTTCTGTCCAAGAGAGGGATAGAAGCCACCCCCACAAGTAGGTTGCCCAGGAATCTGTCTTTTCTAGGGACTTTCATAGAGCAAAACCACGAGGTGAGGCGGGTCCAAGGTAGGGGAAAAATGGGAAATCACAAGGTGGGCATGAAGTGGGACCAAACTATGGTCAACCAATAAGATTACAAGTATAACTGTTCAGGTAAAATTGATTAAATCAGGGTCAAATGGGGAAGCGAGTCATGTAGCAAGCAGGCATGAATATAGAACACGGGTTTTTCCTGTAAGGGGTTGGGCAGTGACTCTTCAAGGTGATTGCTACTATTTAGAACATCAATCCCTGAGGTCCGGGGCTGGGGATTTAGCTCAGCGGCAAAGCGCCTGCCTGGCAAGCGCAAGGTCGTGAGTTCGGTTCCTGGTACCAGAGAAAAACCAAAAAAAAAAAAAAAAAAAAATCCCTGAGGTCCATCCCTAGGGAGGTATGTGGGTGGGTTGTTTAATCTTTTGTTTTGAGGTCTGTCTCTAAGCGGAAGTGCCTATCTACATTTGCTAGGTATCTTGTCTTCCGAACTGGCTCCTTGGAGGGCCTGGCCCCGTCTGACTGCCTATAATATTTCTATGTAACTCAGCTACACACAACAGTCAGGGATATCCTGTCCCTTAGGTACTGTCTTCTGTGTTCTCCACATGTGCACTGGATCCATCGCTCGTTAGGGTGCAGGATTTTAGCTGCAGGTGAGAGCTAAGCAAAGGGTCCCCTCTGTTCAGGAGGCATTGTGTTGCGGTCCATGCTCTCCGAGCAGCTCCACTTTCTATAGGTGTCCCCTGGAGCTCAGATTCCAGCCAGCTGAGGTGGCTGCCACAGCCCCTTGCTGGGCCCTGGGAGCCCATGGCTGTGTCATCACCTGACGGTGGGATCATAACATGAACCCAGGTGATGCAGCAACATTACATGTGAAGGAGCCACATGTTCTACTTAGGAGATCTACCAGACATCAGCTCACCCTCTTGTACTCCTTCCACTGCTATCATAGGAAACTAATAACAGGGCTCACAGCTTTTGAGTTTTTGAGGCCTTAGAATATGCTGGGGACTGAAAGCATGAGAAGGATAGTCTGGTGTGTGCAGAGGGCTTGAACCTCAGCAGGTAAGTATTCAATTTGTATTGAGTTATTAGTATTATTTATTGTGATGCTGAGGATTAAAACAAGACCTTTATATATGCTAGGCAAGAGCTCTACTGCTGAGATACATCTCAAGTCCAGATATTAAGCTATCTTTTTTGTGGGGGGTACAGAATCTTGCTATGTATTCAGGCTGTCCTTGAACTCACTGTGTAGCCCAGGCTGGCCTAGAACTCATGGCAATTCTCCTGCCTCAGCCTCCAGAGTCCTGGGATTACAGGCCTGCATCACCACACCTGGCTACTATTAAGTTACTTTAATTGTGTTCTTCGTGACATAGTAGAGAAAAATACAATGGCTTTTCATGACAGAGAATGATAAATTATAGAAAATATACGTGAGAATCATACATATTCCTACCACTCCCTTACTGTAAGCCCTGTAGCATCATCCTCATTAGACCTCTGCATTTGAGGATTTAATTTTATTAGCACTATTTGGAAGCAATGAGACGTGGATGACATGGGCCGTGTGGTTGTTTTTGGTGCAGCTAACATTGGGGATCACTTTTCCAGAGAGCACACCCTGCACCATATATCTCAGTGATCCCAGTTCACTCTCATCTCACCTTTATTCTAGTATAAAATTTTATTTATTTGACTATTTTATGTTTTGTTTTGTTTTTTGTCTTTTTTTTTTGAGACAAGGTCTCACTTTGCAGTTCAGGTCTGCTTTGAGCTCACTTTGTAGCCCAGGCTGGTCTCGAATTTGTACAGATCCTCCTGCCTCAGCCTCCTGAGTGCTGGGATTACAGACGTGCACCACCAGGCCTGGCTTTATTTGACTATTTTATGATGCTAGGATTAAACCCAAGGCCTTGCCCCTGCTAGCCAATGCTGTACTACATAGCTACATCCCCGATGCTGTTTATTTATTCTTAACCTAGTAGAGCTCTTGCACTGCCCACCTAATCTTGCATTTTGCTTCAAAGACAAACACTTTTATCCTCTTGCAAATACTGTGTAGACTTTTGCTGATAGCTGACTAACATTTCAGACATGGGAGTACCCCGTGGTTGTTTTAAACTGGTTACTATATTTTGCTCCCCAAAGCAACACTGCAGTACACATCTGTGTGCGCAGTGCTGGGGGTGGCCCTGAGTGCTGTTTAGCAAATATTTCTGACCTCTCTGCTACACCCACTGCTATGGGTGGGAACTGTTAGGAACTGGTGATTTGTCACCTTTTTTCTTCCCTGATGATGCGCAACTTTGCAGATGTAGACACTTCCTCAGCTTGGGTCCTGAGGAAAACACATTGAGCAATACCCCCGTGGGTACGTGGTAAACGTGTAGTGTGTGCTTAAAGAAAGTGTTTAAAGTCACTGAGAGCCCGAGGTTGTTTGTTATGGCAGCTTGACCTAGTTAACTCCAGCGATACCATGCTGTGAGTTCCTATCATCTTATAATTAGAGTCCCAGACATGGAATTACTGAGTCTACGAATTTTTGACATTTGAAAGCAATTGGCTTTGCAAAATACACCAGTTTGCTTCCCTCCTACCCATGCAAAATGCCACATTTTCTCATGTTGAGAAATATCAATAAAAGAGAGGTTGTTTCTTAGCTGAAAAAGGGGCATGTTTTAGCTTGCTAAAAATGATTCTGATTCTTTCTTCTTGCAGTATTCAAGAGATAGTTCTGGGGTGATCTACGTCATGTTGAATGGTTCAGAGCCAAACGGAGCCTATCCTGTCAGGGGGTAAGAACTCCAGCACCAACCAATACGGCAGAGAGTGAAAAAATGTTTATTTAGTTGTTTTGAGTGGAACCTTAAAGAGAATCATCCTAATCCCCACGATAATGCTTGCCTTTATAAAGTGAGGTAGGGCAGAACAGTTGAAGGCCCCAGCTGGTGAGTAGAGCCTTGTCTATACAGTTAAACCAGCAGTAGCTCATGAATGCATGAATAAGTAACCTGAACGTGAAAGTTAAGGGCCCCACCAGACTCCAGCACTGGCTTGGGCCCACCTGGGGGCTGCAGCTGCTTCTTTATGCCCGGCCTTCCTCACCTTCCATCCTATAGTGGATTGACAACTAGTGGTCAATTTATAACCCCCAGCTGAACTGAGTAAGCCTGGTGCTGGGTGTGGGAGGCCCACCTGAGGATTGCTGCCAGCAGCATAAGAGGCAGAACTAGAGAAGAAGTTAGGCTGTTGGGAGCTGAGAAAGGCTGTTGGAGCTGTAGAAGCTGTAAGGAGCTCTTGGTTGTTTTGGAAGAGCTTGTTGTGCTGGCTTTCCTGATGAACTTGGCTGTTTTCATCCTCTGAGGAGCTCAGGACCTTGTTGGCACTGAGAATAGCTTTGGTTCACTTTGGGGGAGCTCTGGTCCTCACTCTGAGCATCACTTCCTGACTCTGGAGGGGAAGATGGTGCACTGCTCAGTCTCCTGGAGAAGCTTGTCCCATTGGCTTTCCTGATGGGAACTTGGCTTTCCTCATCATCGGAGGAGCTCAGGACCTCACTGTTGCTGAGGATGGCTGTGGTACTTTTCACGGGAGCTCTGATTCTTACTTTGCACATTACTTCCTGGCTCCAGTGTAGATCCCTCAGCCTGCTGGCACAGACTTTCTAGCTTCCACCACTGACCTTTGGGCCTTCCCAGCACAGATCCATGAAATAGGTCTGCATGAGATATTGTTATGGGCTCTGGGCCTCCAGGTGGATTCGTGGGAGGCATTGTTATGAGCTCTAGGTCTTCAGCTTAACTCATGCAGGACATTTGCATGGGATCCAGGACGTCAGCTGGATTCCTTGGTCTTAGTGCGTGGACAGATTTCCTGTACTCTCTTTTTGTATATGATTCTTTGGGTAAGTATTATAAATAATCTGATAACTATGTGTCCTGTATTGTATTGTTCACCTTGCAAATAAGACCCAAACCACAACACGCCCCCAGGGACCTAGTCACACCCTGCAGGCCACTCCTGGGATTCAAAATGAACCTGATAGGTTTTTCCAGCTCAGGGAGAAGTAAAACAGAATAAAATGCCTTTATTGTGGACGCAGAGAAGGCCACAGCAAAGAGAAAAACGTGGCTTCTGAGGATCTTTTCTGGGGTCCAAGGTTAAATAGCCCCAGGCTGGAGGCGGGGCTTAGGTGCACCCCCTGACATGGCAGACCAGGATTGGGTGGAAGCATGGGAAAAGGGAACAGTATATTACAAAAAGGGAAGTGGGAAGTTGCAATTTGACTCAGCAGAAGAAGGATGGGGCTTAGCACATAGCCTCTAGTGGCCAGTGCCATATTGGCTGGATGCCATAGTGACTGAGCACCATACCTCCAGCATGACCTCCAGCGCCATATTGGCTGGGTGCCATAGCAACCCAGCAGGAATTACAGCGGGGCAAGAAACCAATCAGAGTCTCGTTCTCTCTCCAACAAGAATCTCTTTCCAAAAAGCTTCGACTGAGTGAAATAGACTTCAAAGTTATGGTGGAAGATGTGTTAATTCTAAGATGGAAATGGTAGAAAACATACGTTCAGGCTTTGGAGGGCAAGTACACAGATCTTACATGATGTAACTGGTGTAAGGGAGTCTGCAGAAGAGCCGAAGCAACAACAGCAGGAGTCTGACACAGGGAAAACATCCTTATAATACGACTAGCAACCAAGGGACGAGTGAGCACTATTCCAGTCCAGTGCCTCAAGCAAGCAGGTCCTGCGGCTGAGTGCTACCAAGCTGAAATCAGTAACAGTAGGCGCAGAGATCCACCTGCATTTCCTAAACATGAAAGGTGAGCTGGAACAGACGAAAGACAAACTGGACCAAGCCCAAAATGAACAGAGTGCCTGGAAGTTTACATCGGACTGATAAATCAATCCTATTCCCCAGTCAGGACTTCCCTACAGTTGCACTGGGAGACAGCTGTGGGGGCAGCCAAGTGCTCGTTTCCATGCCAAGACTCAGACTTTTTGAGCAAAAAAAAAAATAAAAAAGCCACATTCTTATACTGTGCAGCTTGTAACGGTTCATGCAAAACTTGCCAGATGAACCTTCTGTTTCAGCTTTTTTCTCTGCCCCTTCCCCTTGCTTCAGAGGCCTGATGCCTTTGGGCGATTCTGAAGAAGAGACCTCCTTTGAAAAATTCCGCTCCTCGCCGGGCGTGGTGGCGCACACCTGTAATCCCAGCACTCGGTGATACAGGAAAATAAAAACTCCCAACCTGAATGATGTCTGTGACGAGTTCGTGTTCTCTAAAACTGAAGAATGAATTTTAGGAACAATGGAGGTTAAAAGCAGAATATATTTATTGAGGGAAAGAAAAGAAAGCTTCTGTCCAAGAGAGGGACAGAAGGGGGACCTGAGTGGGTTACCTCAAGACTCTGTCTTTTCTAGGGACTTTTATAGAGCAAAACCACGAGGTGAGGCGGGTCCAAGGTAAGGGAAAAATGGACAAAACTATGGTCAGCCAATAAGAACTGTTCAGGTAAAATTGATTAAATCAGGATCAAATGGGAAAGTGAGTCAAGTAGCAAGCAGGCATGAATACAGAACAGGGGCTTTTCCTGTAAGGGGTTGAGTCAGCGACTCTTCAAGGTGTTTGCTACCTATTTAGAGCATCAATTCCTGATGTCCATCCCTAGGGAGTTATGTGGGTGTATTTGTTTAGTCTTTGGTCTTGAGATCTGGCTTGAAGCAAATACCATCTCGCCATTTGTAAGGTATCTTGTCTTCCATATTGGTTCCTTCAAGGGCCTGGCCCTGTCTGACTGCCTATAATATTTCTACCTTAACTCAACTGCCTACAACATTGGGAGGCTGAGGCAGAAAGATCTTTGTGAGTTCGAGACCAGCCTGGGCTACAAAGTGAGCTCAAAGCCAGCCTGAACTGCATAGTG